GGGCTCCATTGCTAGTCCGCTAGGATGATCAATAAGAACTCCTAAAGCTAGATCCTAGGTTCTAAGAGTAGAAGACTAAGACCTCACTAAAAATGAGGTCAACACCGACCACTTCATCAATTTGATGTAAAAAATGTGTTTTTAATTGGAGAATTGCAATAAAAAGTATATATGGACCTACCACTCGGATTTGAAGAAAAATTTGGAAAGGTAAAATATGCAAATTAAAAAAGTCCCTGTATGGGTTAAATCAGTCTCCTAGAGCTTGGTTTGAGCGTTTTGGTGATGTTATCAAGAGACATGGATTCTCTCAAAACCAAGCTGATCACATTTCTTTTTTCAAACATTCCATCAAAGGTAAAGCAGCCATTGTGATTGTGTATGTAGATGACATAAACATGACAGGGAATGATCCTTTGGAGATGAGCGACCTGAAGAGGAAACTTGAAGCTGAATTTGATATTAAAGACTTGGGAAAGCTGAAATATTTCCTCGGAATGGAGTTTGCAAGATACAAGGAGGGAATTTTTGTCAATCAGTGCAAGTATGTACTTGATTTACTCAAAGAAACATGAATGACAAGTTGCAAGGTAGCAGATACGCCAATTGAACCTAATATAAAATTGAAAACAACAACAGCTAATGAGGTAATGGATAAAGAACGCTATCAAAGATTGGTAGGGTGACTAATCTATTTGGCTCATACTCGACCTGATATAGTCTTTGCAGTAAGTGTTGTGAGTCAATTCATGCATTCACATAGACCTCACTTCGAAGCTGTATTCCGAATTTTGAGATATCTCAAAAGAACTCATGGAAAAAGACTTCTGTTCAAAAAGGGAGAACATCTTCTAATAGAGGCCTACACAGATGCAGATTGGGCAGGAGATGTAAATGATAGAAGATCCACATCAGGTTGTTGTACCTTTGTAGGCGGAAATCTGATTACTTGAAAAAGTTAAAACAAAGTGTGGTAGCAAGAAGTAGTGCTGAAGCAGAATTCCGCTCGGTGGCACATGGACTCTGTGAAGTATTATGGATAAAAAGTCTCCTGGAAGTGTTGAAGATTCCTATACCAACACTTATTAAAATTTACTGCGATAACAAGGTTGCAATCTCTATAGCTCATAATTTTGTTCTACATGACCGAACAAAACATGTAGAAGTTGACAAACATTTCATAAAGGAGAAGATAGATGGCGGTGTGATATGTATGTCCTACATACCCACTGCTACCACTGCTAGAAATATTCTAACAAAAGGTCTTTCTAAAGTGCAACACGAGAATCTAGTTAGCAAGCTTACCATGAGTGACATGTTCATGTCAGCTTGAGGGGGAGTGTTGAAAGATCCTGTAAATAATGATGATTATATTCCATATTTGTTATATCTCTATATTTAGAGGGTTATAAATTATATGAGGGATATTAGGAATCTCTATTTATTTGTTTCTTAATTAGAGAAGACTAGCTGCCTCTTATATTTGTTATTATTTCTTTCCTTGCCTACTGTATTATGTTTTTATTGCTTTCTTTATCTGTAAGTCCTGTAATGGGTATTTATACCCCTTTTTGCATCAATAAGAATAAGTCCTCTAATATTTTTCCACTGTTTTCAAATTATATATATTATTTATATAATAATATATTATATATATTTATATCTAAGTTTATATCACCACAACTCTTGTGATATGTGGTTTTGCGCCCTTTATCGTATATGAATGGTGCAAGTTTGAATCCATCACTCTACATTTATTTTTGCTAATTAATTTAAATGAACCAATTCGAACTGAACATAAGCTAAAAGTGAATACGAACATTTTGGAGCTGAACACAAGCAAATTGCTCACGAGTCAATTTCGAAAATAAAAAAAATTAGAAGATAAAAAATAAAACAAGCCAAACATGAACTGATGCTCAACTGTAGCCCATGCCTCTAGCCCCTGTTTCCTTTGCTGTGTCCAGCAATTGATGGCTTGCTGCCTGCGATTTTTACTGTCTTCCATACGCTCAGCTGTTCACCCTTCTAGCTAGTTTGATCCGGTGGCTGGATTGCTTCCTTTTTTGTTTCTTCAAACATCAATTTCCTTCATATATCAACACAGCTCTATTTATTTCTGGCTAATGACGTTGATTCAAGGCATACAATGCTCTTAGAAACAAGAAAAGGCAGCCTGTGCAATTTAATTGGTTTCTATTATAGTCTCTTCATTGTCTTGGATGTAGAAAATATCTAAATTCCTTGCAATTCAGCACCAAATGGAAGTGAATAATTCTGATCTCAGAAATTATATTTTTTTCGATATACCAACCAACCTGCTTTAGCTTTTCTGATATAAACAATTTGTAAAAGTTTTGTGTTATATGCTACAGGAACATGTGCATACTTTTAAGACACGGTTAATTTTGTTCAGTCCTTACCAAATACATGCATTTCAAAACGTATTTATTGTCTACATTCATTCATAGTTGTATACTTGTATTTGACAAGTTTTTAAATATTTTTTTGACCTACAAGCATTTATGTTGTATTTCACAAATTTAATTATCCGTTGGCGTATGCTCTGCCTAATGTGCTTATTACTCGTTAGGTTGCTTTAGTGTTTTATTTCCCAATTTTTTTGCAGGTTAGAGTTCATTGGTGATAAAAGCCTTCTCGGCGAGTTCATTGAATTCATAGGAAAGCCAGAGGATCTGCAAGCTTTGAGACATGTGAACAGATCAGAAGTTGGTCAGTTCATTGTTCAAAAGCCAAGCTTGTTCGGCTTAGGTATGCATGCCCATGCCTATAAATTTAGTTATATTTGATTTTTTATATGAGACTTATCTTGCTGTGGTTATATGTTGTTTAAAAGATTTTGCTAACAAGAATGAATGAAAAGGAAAGCATGGTTCATAAAGCTAGCCTCAGGTAGTTTAAGTTTGATAAAGTATGGACTATCACGGCATGAAATGGACGTCGAGAAGGGCATGCCTTGTAAAATTAAAACACAAGCCAAGGGAAAGATGTTTTTATTTTATTAAACTAAAGCATTGGAAGATTTAATTTGTATATATCAAGTCTAAAACATATTATCATGCAAATCCTACATTATAGCATGTGTCAAATTTAAATAAAGATAATAATAAGAAAAAACATACATTTGATTGTATTTTAACTAAATTGAAAGAATGTAGTAAAGAACATTGTTCAAAATTCCTTTACAAATAAATAATACATTTTATTTATATAGCATTGTCGGTCAACTTTTTTTTCGATTTATTATCATGGTTATTGAAGCCAATGCTCTGTGAGACGAGTATAAAACAATGAAACAGGAGGCTTGTAGAAGTCTCACTCCCTTCCAGGCCCACAAAATGATGGGATGGAACTTAACAGATATTTTCTGTATAACATAAGATATTTTCTTGATCATTTCCTATAACACTTCGTTTCTAAAAAAACTGTTCTAACTAAGATTCTCTTTTGAAACCAAACCAGGTCAAGAACATTTCTTACTGCCTTGAGGAGTACATACTGTACTTCCATGAGATATTCATAAGCGAGGGAATGGGGAGGCTGTGTAATGGGTTGGGTGAATGCTTACAAATGTCTAAAGAGTGTAATGTCTGTGTATGTATGCCTATGTAATTTCCAGTTTCAGTTACCAGGAGAAACGACGAATTGAAGAAAAGGAAAAGAGGAGTCGGGCAGCCGAACAGGGGAGAGAGAAAGCGGTTTGGGGGGGGGGGGGGGGGGGGGGTTGGGAGGAAAGGAGGGGGAGGTGAGTTTATCTTATAAATTACCGAATTTGGAAGGCAGCGACTTACCTGGGAGTCAATATTGGAGGGCGCTCGATCACAAGTGTTTTGGTGGTTGTGGCGAGTGCGGCTAGGGTAGAGAGTGTAGGCGGAGAACAACAACATCTCTATTGCGTTGAGGTGGAAGAGACGACGGGTTCGTGTGATACCTTGTGCAGAGAAGAAGGCGACATCGATCGGAGGAAGCTTGTGCGGCAAGAACCGAGCCAGTGCTCTCTCGTGTGCTGAGGAAGCATCTCGCGTGTAGTTTTATTAGCTTAGGTTATTTATTTAAGTTATTTAATAAATATTATGTATATATATTATAAGTCTATTATTTAAATGATAAATTTAAGTACATTTGATTCGAGCACTAAATAAAGGCTAGGGTTTTAATTTTAAAAGTATTTAATAATAATTTTAATTACAATAATTAAATTTTAAAGTTTGGCTTAAAGTGTTGAATTCCTAATTAAAATAAGGCGTTACAACCATAATTCACACTTAAATTAAAACACAAATAAATAAAATAATAATTGTCTATTTTGTATCTTATAGGTGATGATACAAGTTAAGAGTAAATGGATCGTCTTTCATCAAGGTAAGTATTCATATTCTTAAATTGTAATATCATTTTGATATATCTTCTAAATTTGTTTTATTGGTTGTTAATTATGCTTGATTAATTCAATTGATTTATTATTATTAAATTTTATCGGTAATTTCGATGTGAATGCTTATAATCTTATATTATAAAATATTTAATGCATTTTAATATTATATGTTGAGTGGTATGAAGTTTTGAATGACTTGATCTGCATATATTGATTGTACGTGTTTGACTGATTTTGATGTTGTCGCCACTTTATGGTACTAGCAGGGGATCGCTAAAGCATTCTTGCACGTATATGAAAAAGAATGTTGATATTGAAGTACTTTAATTGGTACAAATTTTTAGACGGTGCTATTGTGACGTTTGTATAGATATAAAATGATATGGTATGCTATTGATCTAATAAAGTTCATCGAATAACATGCTAAATGTTTATATTTATTTATTAAAAAGCTTAACTGACGTGCATATTATTTCTCTTTTCCTTAGCATTATTGTAGTTTAGGAGCATGAGTATTCACTGACTTATTTTGCTCAATATTATTTTTAAACTAATTTTTTCAGGTTAATTTAATTGATTAAAAAATGAACGATAGAATAGAAAACGTTTATAAAAGACACAAACAACCTGTATCGAGGTAAAGTTAAGTGTACTACTTTAAATTCATGTAATTAGTGACTCTTTCATTTTGTTAATAGCTAATTATAAAAATGGACATCAAAATCTTATTTCCTACCATTCGATTATCTGTTCGTGCCTTGGTTCCTTCCAAGTTTCGGGCCGGTCGATTAAAAGTGGTATTAGAGATAGTATTCAAGATTAATTAATTTAATCTTGATGAAAGAGCCAATAAGGTAATTATAAAAAAAATTAATAATAATAAAATTAAAGTTAACTCAAATTAATAATTATATTCATTCAAGCATAATGATGCAGTTGAAATTATAGAAGAGAATCTGATAGAAAACGAAGAATTACAACTTACTATAAATGTAAACGCGAATTTCCTGACTTAATTGATCGCGATGATGACTCAACTAATACAGGAGTCCAGATTGTACCCTATCGAAAGCGTAGTCACTATGGATAAGTACCTGAAGATATTTTAAGATTTGCATCTATCTTTGTTCAAAGGAGCTGAAGAACCGATTGAAACGGAGAATTGACCAATAAAAATAGAGAAGATATTAGATAACATTATGTGTTAAGATGAAAGGAGAGCGTCACTAGCTACATTTGTGTTGGATGGAGAAGCCGAAAGGTGGTGCTGTGGACAATGTCAGGACAAGTTAGGGGATATACCCAATATGTTGGTCAGTTGGGAAGAGTTCGTGGAGCTATTCAGAGAATGGTTTGTGCCTCTATCCACTCGAAGATAGATGTAGGATAGGTTCATTAAGTTGAGGCAAATAGAGGAGTCATGCAGTACAAAGCAGAATTCATTGCACTGTCGAGGCATGCGTCACAATCGATCGCTATTATAAAAGAAAAGTTCTACAAATTTCTTTTAGGATTAAAAGGTTCGATCAGACAATGGTTGATACTTTTAGGGATTGATGAATATTCGATATTAATGGAACGAGTTAGAAGACTGAAGATCGACTATCAGCTTACCTAGATGTGTAAGGAGATGCACAAGGGGAAGAGTCATGATGAAGGTGAACATAAAAATCATTTAGAAGAATCCAACGGGAAGAAGTCCAAGAGTAATTCGCGTGGGTTAGCAGATGAACGACTCGGGGTACTGTAGTTATTTGTGTCAAATGCACAAGACAACACAAGTTAATATTTGATGAGATCTAACACTTGTTATTAGTGTCGTCAGCCTGATTATATAGTAAGGTCTTGTCTATGTCTTGATCAGAAGAGCGTTGAAGATCAAAAATCAAGTGAAGCTCCTTCACAGAAGATTGTAGCTGGGCAGAAAAAAATTAAGTCCATAGCTTTAGCTTTAACCCAAGGTCAACCAAGACAGCTTGTTCGACCGCTAATATATTTCCTTACTCATAGTGAGTCTAAAGAACCTACTGCTGCTGATGGTTGGTGGGGTCTGATGAGTTTGGTGTTTTCTTATATGTAAGGTTATGTTCTTAATATATTTTCTTGTTTTAGTATTGTTATCCGAAGTATAGCTGAGTCGCTTTGTATTCAGATTTTATATTTTTAGATGAATATTTTTCATCTTAATGAAGGATCCGTAGTTTCATAGATAACTAATGTTGACCTGCTTAATGAGAAATGACTTCAGGTATGTTATAAATTTTGAGGACAAAATTTTTTGTAAGTGGGGAAGATTGTAACGCCCGGTTTCAGTTACCCGGGAAAGAAATGAATAATTGAAGAAAAGGAAAAGAGGTGTCGGGCAGTCGAACAGAGGAGAGAGGAAAAGAGGGCTCGGAAGCCAAGGAGGTGCGTTTGGCTTATAAATTACTGTATTTGGGTGGCAGAGACTTGGTTGAGAGTTAGGAGGGCTCTCGATCATGAGGATTTTGGTAGCTTCGGTTAGTGTGGCTGAGTGTAGGAGGAGAACAACGACATCAGTGGCTTCTCTGTTGCGTTGAGGAGGAAGAGGCGACGAGTTCGTGTGGTCCTTTGCATAGAGAAGAAGGCGACATCAATTGGAGTAAGCACGTGCTGTACGAATCAAGCTAGAGCTATCCCATGTGCTGAGAAAGCATCTTGCTTGTGATTTTATTAAGGTAGGTTATTTATTGAAGTTTTTAAATGAACATTATATATATATATATATATATATATATATATATATATATAGTCTTTTAGTTAAATGATAAATCTAAGTGCATTTGATTCGAGCACTAAAGTAAGGCTAAGGTTTTAATTTTAAAAGTATTTAATAATAATTTTAATTACAATAATTAAATTTTAAAGTTTAAAGTGTTAAAATTCTAATGAAAATAAAGTGTCACAATAATAATTCACAATTGAACTAAAACACAATTAAATAACATAATAATTGTATATTTTAAATTATATAGGTGATATTTTAGTGCAAGCATATCGTCTATTATCACGGTGAGTACTCATATTCTTAAATTATAGTATCATTTTGGGATCTTTTTTAAATCAATTTTATGAGTTATTAATTATGCTTGATTAATATAACTGTTTTTTTATTATTAAGGGTCTGTTTGGGGCAGCTGCAGCTTATCCAGCTTCTGCTGATAAGCAGCTGATCCTGATAATCTGATGATGAGCATGATGAGCAGTTGATCCGAGCAGTTGATCCGAATAAGTTGGCTGGCTGTTTAGTTTGTGTGTTTGGAAAACAACTGTTTCTGGATAAATGACAATTTTGCCTCTGAACTGAATAAACCGTTACGCTTTTTGGTTTCTGCAGTTTGAGAACAGCTGATTT